TTCCACTCCCCCCGGCTGCCACGTCCTTGTCGGCATCAGCTTCCACCAGCGAGCGTGCAATCTCCAGGTGGCCATGTTCACATGCGAGCAGGAGAGCGGTCATGCCGTGACGGTCTGTCAAGTCCTTGTCAGCACCAGCCTCCACAAGCAATCGTGCAATCTCCAAGCGCCCTTTCTCACATGCGAACATCAGAGCTGTCTTTCCACTCCCCGCGGCTGCCACGTCCTTGTCGGCACCAGCTTCCACCAGCGAGCGTACAATCTCCAAGTGCCCGTTGTCACATGCGAGCATGAGAGCCGTCATGCCACATTCCAGACGCAAGTCAGCCCTCAAGTCTATGTCAGCACCAGCTTCCAACAGTAGACGGACCGCCACCGTCAGACCGTTGGACGCAGCATACATGAATTCCAGGTCACCTGCACCTGCAGCCTCCGTCGCCAAGGAAGTCTTGAGCAACAACTGCAGGTCCCAGGGCACCTCCACCTTTGCAGCATCCTCCAGCCTGCTGCCATCTACCAGTAGGAGCTCTTGCAGGCAGGAAGGAAAGCCGTGCAAAGTTCGCAAGTGACGTTTCAAAGCGCCCACATCACTTATTCTCAGCTCCTCCGTCTCCTCCCGGCTCAAAGAGCACAGCTCGGCACCCGAGATCCCGCACATGCGGAGCATGCTACGAGACTCCCGTGCTCGCTGGAGTCCGAGTCCCAACCCCTCGATCCTAAGGGTCCTAAGCCCTGGCCATAAATCCGACAAAACCAAAGCGCAAGGCTGAGATCCGCTCGGGACCAACTAAGAATACCTTGATCAGAGATCAGGCTACAGGGTGGAGGCCGTTTGTTCTATGGCGTCTGTGCGGAGGCACAGATATCACGAGCTGCTTTGCTGGGTTCTGCACTACACAGTATGCGAGTTTGGGCCTTTTCGACTTCGAACGTGGCACCTGTGCCGGGTTCTCGATTTTTCCCATGGCACTGTCAATCAATATTAATTCTATATCTATATATATATATATATATATAATATTTTTGGCTCCCACATGGCATCATCAGCAGGCTGATTCTGCATCGCAGGTACAGAAGACTACCCTGCCCCCTCATCACCAGCACAAGGCTCCAGCAAGAGGGATGAAACAAAGACATTACGCAAGGCACGATAAGGCAAGGCAACGGCATATCGCCATCGCAAGCAGATGAGAGACACAGTGCACATGGTCAGGGTCTCTACACCTAGCCAGGGTCACTTGATACACTTCTCGATTTGTGCGTGTCATCCTTGCGCAGATATATATATATATATATATACATATATATATATATATGTATATGTGTGTGTGGAACTGCCGGGAGCTACACGTGCATAGAGACATGTTGCACGGGCATGAGACTCGTGTCTGTATCAAACAGAAACAAAATCTAGCCACTGAGGCAGTGGCAGCTGCTGATTTTGCAGGTGCAACTTTGACACGCGCTCATCATCCTGAGCAAACTACCCGATCCGAGGGTGACCGGGCACGTGCTGAGGTCTTTTGGGCAGTGTCCAGTTCGTCAGGGGCATCCCTGTGCTCTGAGCGGAAACGGTAATAAACCCAAAGCAAGACAACGACAGAACGAGGATGATGATGACTGTCGAGGTCCGAAAATGGGGCTGAAGACGGGTGCAACAACCCCACACTAAATTCCAAGGCGACCTACAGCCANNCTCCGCGAGCATACGACTGAACCACTCCAAAGCCGGAACCCTGCGGCCTGTAGAACGAAAACAGATTTTGCTCATTCTCACATGTGTGTTTGTGAAGTTCCTATGCTGCCGAGTGGGATGCATGCATGCAGGTTTGGGTCTCGCAGTTCAAAAGACTGCTTTGCGATTTGGTGCCCTCGCACCAGCACCCCTTCGCATACCTGACTAGCCGAACATCTTGAGAGCTTGTTTACCCAAATCGATTCCCTCAGCTCAAGCTCGAAAACTGTTGAGAAATTTAGTTTGAACCGGGTGAAACTTACACGCCCGTGGCATCTGTAAGCTAAATCTAGGCCCCAACGGCAGCCAAGTGTTGCGGAGGCGGCGGCTTCTGCGCCTTAGGGAACGAAGGGTCAAGAGCCTTCTTCTCGGGTGGTCACAATCATGATCATCATCAGCATCAGCATCTTCACCACCACTATTATTCCTCGTCGTCGTCATCATCACTTTCAACTACTTGTAGCAGCATCTGGGTGACAGAATCACCATCAACAAAATCATCCTCATCGTCACTGTGCGCATCTTCTTTTCTTCCTACAGGTGCTTTTGACTTTCGCGTCTTCATCATATACTGCCTGTCTTACTTCAGCAAGGCACTGTCTGTAGCAGCGGCACCAGCTGCTTTGAAGGGAGGAAGAGCACTGAAGAAGCTTGCATCGTCTACCCACCGTTTTGATCGAAACTCCTAATTCCGTTCCAGCGAGCTGGATGGCTGGCTGATGACGTTCGCCCTGCTTTGTTCTGTCGTGCCTACCGCAGACAAACAAACCACGATACTTGCTGCACCGTGGCTAAGCCCTTTATACCTTTTGCTACTGGACTCAAGTCAAGCCGGACCACGAAAAAGGCTCAGCACTGAACCACCTAAACGCAACACCCTAAACCCTAAAACCATATGTAAGACCCTTTTGAAAAGCGTAAGACCCGAAACAAAAAAAGAATCGTCTGCAACTGGGCTCCGCCCGCCTTGTTGGCCTCTTGAGCCTGCGCCAGCTCAGAGCGTAATCGGGCCACCTCGGAGGCCAGCGTGGGTCCAGAGCCCAGAGCCAGAAGGCCTACTACAAGGGTTACCAGAGGCCGTTTTTGCAGCGCATAACGCAACCATGTCAGACATGCATAACTTTGCAAAGCCATGGTAAAGCCTGATAACTGGGAGTGCACGACACTAAGCTCCCGACCATGGCCCTCAAAACATCCTGCACAATAAGCCACAAGTGCAGGGAGGCTTCTTCAAAAGGCTCAAAGCAGAAAAACCGGCGGAGGAAACAAAGCTGCATAAAGACCAATAGCAAGAGGAATAGTAAGTAGTAGCAGCCGTAGCGAACACAAACATACTCACGACATTAGAGCCCACTTACTTATGCCAAGGCCAGGAACCCAAGGGCCTCTTCGCTCCGTTCATCCAAAGCCAAGGGCAAGGGATAATGGACCTTGGCGCACTTCTGTTTGTGCAACGGTTGCAGGGCTATCTCGATTTATATAACATATATGTTCAGGTGCCGTGGTTGGCCCAGTTATATTTCCCATATTAGCGAGCATTCTCAGAAAGGTATTTCCCATCTGTACCCTCACAGAGCTGGAAGAATCCTCTTGTGCCGGGCTCCAAACCCAAGCCCTGATCCCCAAACCCGGAAAATCCCGCGTAAACCCCCAGCCCTAGACTATCATACTGCGAAGTCGCGGGATGGAAAGGGGGGGGCCTCGGGCTGCCTCAGACTTTCTTTTGCAAGGGAAAAAGGTGTGTTCCTGTCTGGCCGATTTTCGTTTGGGGTGCCACGGGCCTCGTTCCGATTTCTACGAGCACAAGACCTGGGTGCGCCGTTTGAGGAGATCCTCCTGCCCAGGGGCCTTGTCAAACTCAGCACGGTAGGTCAAAATCATGTACCTGGCGGGGAACGCTGGAGTTGAAAGCTACGACAAAAAATCGCGCAGACATCCCGTGCGTCCAACACCACGTTGTGCCTCTTGTCCGGCTGCGTCGTGGCTGGAGCAGCTGGTGGCGCCTTCCGAAACGGTCGCGTCTGCAAACTTCAAATTCTGTTCAGCGAGCAACTTGGAATCTTCGTGGCTGTGGGGGGGGGGGGGAAGGGGGGCACACTGCACAGCCTCGTGTGTCTAAGCGGATGCGGAATCCCCGAGTCCCCGCCCTTAAACGCGGCAGACCTCCGGATTGGCATGGCGACGGAGCATCTCCAAGTCGCCTGGGAATCCCCAAAATCAAGCTTCGACGTTGGCAACTCGGACCGGGCACTCCACGAGCCCGACCACTTCCCTTTTTTTCGGAATCGGCATCCACTCCCGCGATTTGCAGGTCCAGTTCTCGGTCAGCTGCGAGCCGTTAGCACGTCCAGGTACACGGAGTCCGACCTTTGCAACAGAAGCGGCGGAAGCCATACACTAAAGCCCCAGCTGGACTGCTCAAAACCTGAGGATGCACATCAGCTTCAACAAGGCTCTGGCTCCTGTGCGAGGGCGGACAACAGCATGCGGACGAAGACGTCAAACCTTGGTCACGGCCCTGCACATGAACAACGTGGACACCATGGAAAAGCAATGATTCATCACGTCCTAGGGCAGTAGTTAGCACCTCGTGGTACCCCCTGATCCAGGATGCCCATGATCGCACCGAAAAGCCCCAGTTCTCTGCAAACGCCTGCCTCATGGGAGATCCCCACGCTGTGTGCCGTGCTTCTTCGCGTTACCGGTGCGACGGGTAATCTCCTCGCAACACTGGAAGCAGCTCCGGTGCAACAGCATCAGCAACTCGGGTTCCTGTCGCTACATGGCATGAGAAACAACCCCAACACTCCTAACAGCCCGACCTGCCAGGTGACCTGTGTTTCGCTCCCTGGGTTCTCCTGCAAAGCACACCTCGCCCCGACCAGCAAGCATCCACTCACACCACGTAGCAACTGCCGTATCAGAATTATCAGATCACCCCATATTTTTTGCCGTGCCAGCTTTCAGGCGGAGGATCTTCTAGCCTCCTACATTGCTGGACAAGTCATTGCATCCTGTCCGTTGAACCCCCTGGAACTATTATTGAGATTCTTTGAGTTCCTGGTGGCTTTGAAAGCGCATGCAACCACTTAAGCCCACTGCCCTTGTGGCAGTAGGTCAACTGTGCTCACCGCACTTAGCGCCTTTTTGGCGCCCCAACCCGAGCCGCCCCTGCGAGGAAACCTTATACTACTATCGCTATAGTAAGGAACCCCCCAAAACAACCCTACTCTAACTATGAAGTGCGTCGTGGCCCGGTTTTGCGCTAGTCGACTTCCGGGTTCCACAAGACGCAGTACTCGAGGCAAAAGCTGGTGTTGTAGATCGGGACCTTGTAGCCGTCCACAGTTGGAGGGTTGTTGTCTAGGCTAGGACAAACCGATAGGTCCGTGTCCACTGGAAAGCATGCTGTCACATTGCTTTCGGTGTTGTTGCCCGCTCCACTAGTGGGATTGTTGAAGATGCCGCCGGAAATGAGCCAATCTGTCACCTGGGTAACAGGCGTCGGAGCCGTGAAGATATCGAAGTTTGGGCAATGATCGGTGTAGGCCAAACTGAAAGGGTACTTCTCAATGTTGGCCCAATTGGCGAAGCCGGTGCGGTTGTTCATCGCCTGCAAGCCTTCGACCAACGCGAAGTTCCAGCGCAGGAGAAGCAGGGGCAGCGGAGTTGAGAAGTTCCCAAAGAGCCAGTCGGCCTGGCGGATCGACTCGAAGTCCGACGTCTCGAAGCCGATCTCTGCCCAAAGCGCTTCCGACAAGTTGAAGGGCATAGGCGCCTGTGTGAGGCGCAGCGGCGGTTCACATGGGAGAGCAGCAGGCGCGAGTTGGGCGAAGATACTGTCGACGCACCTCGGACCCAGGTAGAGGTTGAAGACGACATGTGTGACATCCTCCACTGCCAAGCCATCCTGGATCCAGACGCACCAGCACTGGGCCACGGGCGGGATCACGGGCTCTGCCGCAGTGCTCAAGAAAGGCCCCGAGGCGCCCATGTGCGTCCAGAGCGCGACCTTCCGGGTAGTCGGAACGTTCAAGTCGATCTCCCGGACGCGCGAAGTGTTGATCACAAAAAGGTTCCAGTCCGCTAACACCTTCAGCCGCGGTGGCTAGCAGGGATGTTGAGAACAAGAGCCAATCATTTGAGTTGCTCCTAGCCCTAGTGTCCTAGTAATATCAAGACATCCCAAAAAAAAACTGCAACCTTTCCAGAGCCCTCAGCTCAAGAGCCTCCAAGGCACCTCCAGTCGCAGCGCCTGCTCCTCGGCAGGGCCCAGAAAAAGATTCGTCTGCTCGGACGGATCGCTGTAGAGATCGAAGTAACCTGGGCCGATAGATTTTTTTGCGCAGGGTCTTGTGAACAACTTCAATTACTATAGCTTGGGTTCTAGGGCTCTAGGGTCTGTGGTGGGCTTTGAACAGAAAGGTTGTGAGGGACTTGAATTCGCCTCGGCCCAGGCCGAAGCGGTCTGAGTCTCCCGCCCCCAATCCGCTTACACGGGCTAGCTTTCATCAGTCGACCCTAAACCCTAAACCCTTTTGAAACCGGACTTGATGACTGCCAGCACTCCAAACCCTAAACCCTAAACCCTAAACCCTAAACCAAGTTGATGCCGAAGCTTGGGAACTCTGCGGCTGTGTCTTGCACCTCGCTGCAAAGATTGCTTCCTCTTCCAACATATGGGAGGTTGTATACGAGACCACTGAGAAGTGCGATACGATTATCACAGTAACAGTAGCATATATGGGATAATGCAGGGAATTAATGTGCCAGCTTTCGCGTGGGTTTATTGCTCAGAACCTCCGCATGAAAAACAAATACTGACATTAAAAAACATTCTGAAGGACATGCGCTCATTCACTCAAGACCTCACCTATGTCACCTACCCCGGTGCTTTCCGAAACAATCCACCTGCTTCAGGTACAGCCGGGCCGAGGCGTGAGGCGGACGACGCGAAGCGTTTAAATGAAGTTAGCATAAGGAGGACAGCCTGCGACTTGCTGCCCATCCCTGTGATTTTTGCCTCCCGCCTGGCTAGGACATCCCTGTGATGGTAAAATGAGAGCAAGGCCTAGTGACAGTAGGGCGTGCTGCAAGGCCGAACGTACTTGTAGCCGAGGTCCGGGATAAACTCGGAGTTGTTGGGGAAGTTGGGTGTCCAGTTCCCATCCGAGATGAGAGTGTTGTTCTCGGTGAACCAGATTTTCTTGAGGTCTGTGATGTCCGGCCCCACTCGAAGCTCCATCACCTCAGAATAAGTGATCTTGCGCGGGACCTGGGTCTTCTGAAGGATGGCCTTCCACATGGGAACACCCGTGAGTGGCCCAGGTGCATTCCGCATGCCTCCATCTGGGTATGGCCTGTCCGTGATCATCTCCAACAAGGTTTCGGCCAGGTCGTTGATGGACATCACGGTATCGCTTGTAAAGGGCGACAGTCGGTTCTTGTCTAGCTTCGCACCCACCCAACCGCCAGCAAAGAGGGCGTTCACGCGCTGGCCACCCTGAACTTCCCACCGCGCAGCGGGTAGTTGTTGTTTGCAGTGCCGGCATAGATCGCGCCACCATTGTCGGAGGTGAAAAAAACAATCGTGTTCTCGTACTGGCCTTGCTCCTTCACGGCCGCAACGAGGTCCCCGACAACCCAGTCGACATATTCCAGAGCACCATAGGTTGCTGCCCGCAGATCCTCGTTCTGTGGGCGGCTGAAGCTCGTCAAGTTTTTTGGCGCAAACCGGCGCGGATATTGAATGGGCAAGTGCATGAGCTGCAGAGCGTGGACAAGGAAGAGCGGTGCCTCCTCGTAGTCGTGCTCTGCAATAATCTGCCGCGACCTTCGCCGGATTTGCTCGTCAGCCACATTGTCGAGCGCCTCCTTGAAACTCTTGCAGCCCACCATCGCCTCCTCCTCGTTGATGTTTCCAACAAATCGCACCAGGAGGAGTTGAAGGTCTCCATCGCATCCTGTCGCCAAAACCCCGGCAAAGCGTTCATCAGCGGCGAAGCCCCTCCCACTGCGAACCCCGGCTCAGTGCCGTCGCAACTCTCCATGCTGTCGCCGAACCAGCCCATGAAAGTCTCATACCCCATGCCCATGGGCGTGTTGAGGTAGGCACCGCCTCCGATGCCCCACTTGCCGTTCAGGTGATTTCGATAGCCCAGCTCCTGCAGACGGTTCGCGATCGTGAAAGTCCCTGGCTGGACCCCTCCGACAAACGGCGTCGTCCTGCTTTTTCCTTCCAGGTCCACGTATTGGGCGTTGGGATCCCAATTCCAGACATTGTTCGGTACCCATGGGTTCAGGGCATCCAAACGGCCGGTCTGCAAAGCTCCGCGGCTAGGCGCACACCAAGGAGTTGCATAGAATCGATCCATGACGATCCCTTCACCTGCCAGCTGATCGATGTTAGGGGTGACGACATCTGAGTTGTTGACTGCATTTGCACGGAAGCCGACCTGATTGAAGCCAAGATCGTCGACGATGATGACTAGGATATTGGGCTTCTTTCCTTTGCCGCCATAGGAGCTGTAAGATTTGTAGTGGTTGTATCCATAGCGGTTGTAACCCCAGCGATGGCGGTGCCACCACCAAGAATCCTTCGCCGAATGTTGCAACAGCTCGGACGTCTCAACCTCGCAGCCCTCGCCTCTGCAAACTTCGCCGGCGGCCCACTTGAGGCAGGCGATTGAAAACAAAAGCAGCGGCGACATGGCCAGGACCGGTCCTCCTGTGGAGTTGGGAAGCTCAGACGGAAAGGCGTCAGCTTCTAGGATCTCTGAAGTGAAGCCTCAAATGGAGCAAAAGCTGCGAGACCAGGCTTCTCAAAGTTTCATGCCAATTCGCATCTTGGCAGGTCATGCCCGACAAAAACCCTCGCCACATTTGGCAGGTCCTCCACAAATCCCGCCGCAAACCTGGCCCGCCAACGACGGCCGTCCTGCTTGAAGGAACGATAAATTACAGAATTCACGTGCAATATCGTGCAACCAATCGAGGACTCGTGTGCAGGTCCTCTGCATGCTCCACCTGAGAGTATACAGAAGCTTCATAACGCCACGACGTCAGACGAAAACCCCACCTCGACGCTCAGGCTCTCCGTGTCACCAGCTACAGATAGGATGTACTCTGCGTCCTTAGGCCAGAGCACGTGCAGCACCAATGACTGCTGGGCCGTTCTGGGACGGCGACGTTGAACCTTCGCCTCTGCGACTTCGTGAAGCCCAGGGCCTGGCAGAGGCAGGAAAGAACTACTCGGAGCCGACCGTCGTGTCTGCGCAAACTGCATGCCTCCATGATGCGCTCAATCACGCCGCGAAGATAACCATCGCATGGTTTGGCAATGCACAGGCACAGACAGAGAGTCAGTCACATGCCTGGAGTTGCAGTTTGGGATGATTTCGGCTGGTTGGTCTTGCGGTTGAGGTTGGTGCTGTCGTTGTCATTCTCGTTGTCGTGGTTGTTGTTGCTGCTGTTGTTGTTGTTCTTGTAACTGCTGTTGCTGTCGCAAAGCAGTCGAGAATGCCTGCCGATGTTGTGTTTACTGTTTATCCTTCTTACTTAACCGAGCCGGCCAAGTTCAGCATTTCTCCATGTGTGAAAGTCCTGCCAAGAAAGATCCGCCAAGACGGTCTCAAACACACGTCACTCATCGCTGCGCCCCTGCTGACTCGACTCCCCGGCTGACCATGGCTGACCCAACCGCTTCTTTTTCAAGAGGCACTTCACGCTCATGGGCGACCTTTGGCTTCTCAAAGACTCTCAGGTTCAAGACCCATCAAGACCCCGACAACTTACCGTTGTTGTAGAGTTACAAGGTCTCGGGTGGCTTTGGGCCGGGCTTAGGGTGCTTCGGGTTTAAAGGGTTTTACGCACTCACCACTCGGCCACAGCCAGACGAAGTCTAGGTTTGCAGGCCAGATCTCCATGTGCATGCAACCTCGCACAGTGGGGACGGGGAAGCTGATAGACAGCAGTACAGCTAAGAATACCGCAGATACCAGATTAGCAGGATGCATGCAACTTGACGGGCGACTTTGACCCGACGAGGATCGGAGCATGTGGAGATGCACAAAACCCGGCATTCCCGTAAAGAAGACGCTTAGCAAAGACTACATACAGTAGCTGCCAAGCAAACCCCTTCCAAGTTTCGGTGCTCACACTCGGACAATCCAGGATTTTTCCCACCCCTGGATTGGGGTTTCGGCGCTCACACTCGGACATTTTTGGCAGCACAATCACTCTGAGTTTATGGTTAGGGCGATCAGGGTGTTGATATCGGGGTGGTTTCGACACTCACACTCGGACAATCCAGGCTTGGGGTGGTTTGTTCGTCATAGTGCAAGCCATGAAAACTGCGGCAGCACTTCAAGCCAGGCTACGTACGTAAGTTTTCCGAACTTCAAGAACTTCGACGATCTCG